GTAGATGATGACACTACAAAAAATCAGAACGGAAATGCTGACACCAGTGATCAGGCAGATACTGACACAACAAAAAATCAGAATGGAAATGCTGACACCGGTAAACATGTAGATGATGACACTACAAAAAATAAGAACGGAAATGCTGACACCGGTAAACATGCAAATGATGACACTACAAAAAATCAGAACGGAAATGCTGACGCCGGTAAAAATGTAGATGATGACACTACAAAAAATAAGAACGGAAATGCTGACACCGGTAAACATGTAGATGATGACACTACAAAAAATCAGAACGGAAATGCTGACACCAGTGATCAGGCAGATACTGACACAACAAAAAAACAGAACAAAAAAGCTGACTCCAATCCAGAAACTACTGCTACCAGTGATCCGTTAGATATTACCACGGAAATACCATCTACAAAAACAAATAAACAGAAAGAAAAAGCTGATTCAGCAACAACAATTGACTCTGATCCAGAAATTACTGCCGTCAGTGGACATAAAGTAAATCCTAATCCAGAACCCATTGCACCCAGTGATCCGTTAAATACTGCCGCAGAAATACCATCTACAACAACAAAAAATCAGAAAGAAAAAGCTGATTCAGTAACAATTGATTCTAATTCAGAAACTACTGCCGCAGAAATACCATCTACAACAAAAAAACAGAACGACAGAAACGCTGATACAGCAACAACTATTGATTCTAGTCCAGTAACTACCGCTGCCAGTGATCGAGTTATCGCTGCCGCAGAAATACCATCTACAACAACAAAAAAACAGAACGGAAAAGCTGGTTCAATGACAACCTTTGATTCCAATTCAATAACTACCACTGCCAGTGATCCGGAATATGCTGCCGCAGAAATACCATCTACAAAAACAAAAAAACAGACAACCATTGATTCCAATTCAATAACTACCACTGCCAGTGATCCGGAAGATGTTGCCACAGAAATACCATCTACAACATCAAAAAAACAAAACGGAAAAGCTGGTTCAGTAACAACTGTTGATTCTAATCCAATAACTACCACCGTCAGTGATCCGGTAGATGCTACCACAGAAATACCTTCTACGACAAAAGAACAGAATGGAAACGTTGATTCAGTATCTGCCTGATCACTGGTGTCAGCATTTCCGTTCTGATTTTTTGTAGTGTCATCATTTGCAAGTTTACTGGTGTCAGCATTTCCGTTCTTATTTTTTGTAGTGTCATCATCTACATGTTTATCGGTGTCAGCATTTCCGTTCTGATTTTTTGTTGTGTCAGTATCTGCCTGATCACTGGTGTCAGCATTTCCGTTCTGATTTTTTGTTGTGCCAGGAGAAGAATCCTTATTACGCTTATGGATTATAGGTTTTTTATTAGTTGTGGAATATCTAAGATCTTTATGATTTTTAGCATAATCGAGATCTTTAGAATGTTCGGGTTGTTTAGTATCTTGAGGATATTCAAGATTATTAAAATGTTCCGGATGATCATGATTTATAGGATGTTTAGAATTTTCAAAATGGTTAGAATCCGATTTATAATGGTACCTTAAACGATGTGGAGGTCTGTTAATGTAATGCGGTTTATGATGTTTTAAGCCCTGTTTTTTGAGAGGTGTTGAGGTTTCATTTTGATCATTTTGATTAGCGGTAATTATAGAAAGGAATAAAATGAAAGTAAGGGCAAATATAAAGGGAATGAAATGAAGGGAAACCATATTATATTGAGGGGATGGATTTAAAAAAAATCCAAAATTGACACCGAAAAAATTGTAGATGATGAGATTCTATTTATATTGAATTATTATACATTATAGCGAATTAATTGTGAATGCAATAAACTGGTACATAAAGATAGTTCATCATTATTGCAATATAATAGTTAAAAGTGTATTGATAATTAAAGAAAAGTTCTGAATTTTCCGTTAACTAGGATATTAGCACTAATCATTATTGAATTGCTCTTTTCGTAAATGCAAATACTGTATATGTAAAATTTATGCAATATTAAATTTTTCAATTTGTTCTATGAAGAGATATTGTGTCACACAGCTAAAAAAGGAAATGAAAATGAGTATAACGACAGTCGTTTTTTGCTATTACCAACTTCATGGAACAAGATATTTTTTGTTTATTTCATGTAAAGGAATACTATTGTCGATATCAGGTAGATAGTCATTGGTCAATAAAATTTGTTTGTGAAAAATAGTAATAACGATATGTTAATATACGTATAATTTATGAAAATATAATCGATTAAATTAAAAATCAGGCGACCAATATAAAATACTATAGTGAAACAGCATATACAAATTTTTTGGCTAAAAATGTCTTGTGATTTCATTCTACTAAATTTGGTAAATTATTAAATAATTTTATTAGCTAACAATAGCGTTTTAACTTCATAAAAAGCCTCGCAACTGTGTATTTGCTCCTGTCATAATATTTATGTAACCTAAGTTTTAGTATATTTTCACATGAGAAATCAATAAAATACATTCTGTTCAAAATATTGAAATCATGAAATCAATTTATAGGAGTTCTTGCCATTATATCATTAAATTAAGCTTTCCTTCATTTGATTAAATTTAATATAAATTTTTATAAATCAAAATATTCAAAATTTCAATACTTGTAATTTAATAATCTTATTAGTTATTTTTTATTAAAGCATTGTCTCGGTAAAGATGAGTTTTATATTATTATACTGTATGTGTGGCTTTTAAATGATGTTATGGACCGTTATCCACTTAACCTATATTTAGTTGTAAATAAACTAAACAAACACTACACTGATTCGTCATTAATCAGTAAAGACTTTATGTATGAATAAGTCTATATCTTGTACAACATGTAAACACAAACAAGCATATAAAATTCATTTGTGTCTTTATTTATTAAACTTATTTGTGTTTAAGCATATTGTGTTCAAAATTCATAATAGTATGTGGATTTCTCTAGACTAATTCTGCATATAAGAGAAAACTTTATTTCTGAAATTGCTAAATTATTTGGCTATCAAAATTTTGAATTTTCGGAACGTTGTAATTCAATTTCAGAAAGCAATTATGCCCGAAAAACATTTTACACCAATCATTTTTAGTATATGAAAATATGTAACGACAACAAATTCCAACTATCATATTTGAGGAACGCCTAAAGAGAAGTATGTTGCACGAAATTTATAAAATTATTAACTTTGTGTTTAATGTTTAAGATAGCAATATTTCTTGAAAGTTTTTATAAGTGCCTCAGGATAGTTGGGATAGCTGCTTTTGTATTTAAATCTTTTGTTTCGTTAGACTAATTCGGATTAGTCAAAATTTTGTGATTTGATTAAACGATTAGACGGCATCAAATTTGAAAAAATGCTAAAGCTTAGTATGTTTATTTGTTGGTCAACTAATTGTTATAATTGTTAATGGAGAATTATACAAAACCTACAAACGTGCTTAACGGTAAGAATAGCACGAATTAAATGTTTTGTTTGAGCAATGAAGATAAATAGATTTGATAATGTCGTGTAAACTTTTTATCGTTATTAGGCGCAGAATTTACAAATAGTTCTTAAGGACAATAAAATAGACAGTACTTATTCACGTAATATTACTAAATCCATATATATTACCAACTATTCATGTAATTATGCAGTGATGTTCGATATGAACATTTCATTTTTATTTTTAAACTATAAAAATTTTTAAAATTATATATTAGCATATTCTGGAAAAGATTTATAAATCACAAATCTTCGTACAAGCTAGTTGCATGTAAGTTTTATGCAAGAATATTTAGGTGGCATTTATTTTTATAAAGCATTTTTTACCTTTTTATATATGCAATTAAATTTATCTTACGATTATGCATGTGACAAGTTTTATGGTATGTACGATTTTTGCATAATTGTCGATCTTATTGTCAATTTTTTACTCAAAAGGAAATAAAACAAAAATTTCTAAAAAGAATATTCTTCTAGGAAGAATGGGCTAAAAAATAGGCTGAAGTCTTTCACATCGCATATAGTTATATAAATACTTGTGCCGTATAACATTATATATTTTTATTTTTTCACCTTTTTTAACTTAAAACCGATTGATATAAGCATACTATTCTGGCTTATTTATGCGATTAACGGCGGTAATGCGAATTCCTAAAAAGAACAACCAATCGGTGAGTTCAAGAATTCGGATATTAGAAAAAAAAAATAAAAATGCTCAAAACCTAATACAGTATTAAATCATCCTTGGTGCATTTATTATAATGCAGGAAACAAAATTTTCACATAAGGCTAGACCAATTTGATTCGGTGGTTTACGTTACATCCCTTTCTCAAAAGAGAGGGGAGGGGGAGAAAAAAAGGAACGTATACATAGCAAATTTTATTGATTTTTTTTTAAATCAGAAATTATCGGCCTACCTTGCTCGTCTTTTATGTTCGTTCATTTTTTCTTCGGAATTTTACGGACTCATAATTTCAAATCTTAATTGCGCCCGGCATTGTGCTCTCCAACCAAAATCATATATGTTATCCCAAACTTTTTTTTACTAAGAGAGTGAGGAGGGAAGTCAAAAGGGGATGTAACTATAAACCATTGAATCAAAATGGTCCCGCCTAACTAGAAGTTGCACATGCGCCGGCTTCGCTGCCCATTTCAGATAACTCAATTAGGCCGTTCGAAGTTGATTCTTCTGTTAACATCATCCCCCTCCCTCCGCTGAAGTCTCCCCTAATAAACGAACAACCAACCAAAACGCTGGCCAATTACTTGATTTACGTTGACCAATGAAATTGACCCATTTTTATATGTTCGTTTCATTCTACCCCTCCCTCTCCCCTCTCCCAAGAGTTCTAAAGGTGATGTTAACTGAAGAATTAACTTCAAACGGCCTTAGATATAACAGATGGTGTGACAATATATGATGTTGCCAATTACTGACAATTCGATATTTTTAGTAAAAAAATCAAATTTAAATTTTTTTAAAAAGTTTATACTTACTTTATTTTTAATGAAAATAGAAGAACTCAGCACTCTGCATACAAGACTAGTTTTAAATATAAATAAGAAGTATATACAGTAAACAACAACCTTTATATGGCTCTACAAATCTGCTTCTTTCTTTTTTACATCATAATATGACCTTCGGCCTCGTTTCACTTAAACCCCAAATCTATACTGTATTTATATTGTGTCTCGCTTCACACCTTTTCATCTTACCTACAATAATAACACGTCATATGGCAGAATCAAGTCCTAATCGTATTTTATATTCTCATAGATACACGTATTAACTAAATTATAAATTCTTTTTTCGTTGTGATTCATTGTGGTTTTCGAAATTGTACATGTGGGCAGCTTTGCCGCCAATATCAACTAGTAATTAGATATAATGACAACAACATACCGTTACAAATTACTGATAATTTGATATATTTATTTAAGAAAATCAAATTTTTTTACTCTTTTTTTACGAAAATATAATAACTCAGTACTCAACGCACAAAACTATTTTTAAATATAATAATAGAAAAAACGTAAACAACAACCTTTATGCGGCTCTCGACCTTGTTTCAAGAGGCAAATCATGTGATCAACAGCCAATCAAATTATAGAATTTATGATCTCCAGCGAAGCAAAGCAAGAAATAAAAATAAAACCCTAAAAAATACAAAAAACGGCAGTCTAAAGCTACTCGAGTAGTTAATCAAAAATGTCGAGAATGCAATTTTGCTTATTATAACTACCAAAAATCCATCCTAACCCTAATATAGGATGCCCCTAACCCTTAAGTTAATCGAAAAAATTAGTAAATATGAGTTGCCCCCGCTTTAGACGTCCCCCTTTCCTGAAATCAATCCATAAAAAAGGTATGGTCTAATCTATATGCCGATACGTATGATACGTTCTAGTCACAGATGTGCACAATCATTATACGGCATGGCCATATGTAGCAAAAAATGATCGGTGTGACGGGAAGTTTTGTCTTTGGAATAATTTGCCCGATCTGATCAACGTCACGTGAGTACCTGTGGTACCCGATCCGATGATTATATTTCCTTAATGAATTTCGTGTATTGTATTAAGTTTTTCATTAATGTTTACTTTTAATTTAAGTTTAGCGTCTATACTTAGCTTTCACGATAATTTGTAAGACTCGCTCATGAGTCATTTTTCTTTTTACTGTGAGAATTGTTTCGAAGGTTGGAGGAAAATATATTTAAAGGGCCGAAAAGTGAAAGAGGACTTAACTGATACGTAACATATGAAATATACCTAACCTTTAGCCTGAAAATATATTCTATTGTGATCATAAAGAAATATAATAATAAAACTTATATTCAACCCAAAAATAGCAATCGTTTGACCGATATATTTAAGACCTGAATTTGACAAATAAACACTAAATAAGACAAAGAACCTGCATAAACCCACACGTTAGACAGTTTCAGTGACCCTACGGAAATAAAGACGTTAAACGGCAGTTTTTAACACCTACGTTTATAAACTGTTTGAATTCCTCCTGATAATAATCGTGAAATAAAAGAGGAATCAGACCTCTTATATTCGCGGTTTGAGCTAAAACCGGAAACAAAAATACGAAGTCTCTCTCCAAACCGTTACATCGGGCAAAATTATAAATTACAAGAGTTGAACGGTTGCCACCGGCATAGAGTTGGCGGTAGAATTAATTTGACAAATTAATACGGTTACGGCACGTGCCGTATTATTTGCCGTAATTACTTTGTGCCGTAATGCCGTAATGCCGCAATGCCGTAATTAGGATTACCGTAATTTTGTGTAATTTTACGTAATTTAGTGTAAGCTTCCGAAACCAAAATTTCATGTAATTTTGTTATCATGTGAATAATGTAGCCAAAATTTCATTATGCCTGGTGTGCTTTTGAATATAAAATTATAGTTCGAACGTTGTGATGAATCTCTAATAATACTGGCAAAACTTTCATAATGTTGGTGCAATAATCATGTGCCAATCCATTATCAAATGTAATATTACATTGCAATTTTGTAAGTTACAATGCAATTTATTTGTAACGTAAATGTAATTTATGTAATTTTCAACCCTAACCCTAACCCTGAACTAACCCTAATCTAGGCCGAGCGATAGTCATATGATACAGTGATGATCACTGGGTTCAGTGATCTTTAATCTTCCCGGGTTTCGTTTGACATGATTTCGAAGGTAGCATAGTGGTGGCAGAAAGGATTCGCGATCAGATGATTGTGACCCAATCAATGATCAATAAACTTACATTAATAATACAGTATCTGGTATGTCTAAATTGCATAAATTTTTGTATATTGATACATTTTATTACTTATTACGTATACATATAAAACACATGATAACGGTCGGAGGCGAGTGATCAAAATTGAAATGGAACGAAAAAATTGCTGCTACGTAAGAATAAAATTATTATAAATTTATTTATTATTACCTATTATATACAAGGTAATAATATGTAATAATATGTAACTGTTTTTGCCCATCTCTAAAGAGAACTGCCAATTACAGTGCGATTGAAATCTCTTTATAAGGCCTGAGCAAATGTATAAAAAATCATATATGTACAGTACAATCGTTATTCATAGTGTAATCATATAAGAGAATGCAAAAGGCAAAAATGCTTTGTAGAGATTTATATCTAGTTTTTATAGTTTAATAAATAAATTAAAAGCCCAGGTGATCGTTGTAAGAAATAGAGGTTATATCCGTTATCCTCTTACTTTGATAGGGTATAAAACCGGTTATTAAAGGTTAATAACCTTTCGGGTAAAAAGTTAACCGGGTATGACCACTAATTAGCTGAAATTTTTTAAAAAATCGATTAGTTGTTTAGTTGATCTAATAATACTGAATTAAAAAACTAGTTATATAATATAAAAACAACTAATTGATTAATCGATTAATAAATTAATAGTAATCGATTAATAGTTGGGTCGAATCTATTAATCGATTAGTTGGCAATTCAGCCAACGTCCTAAACGATTAACGATTTTCGATTCAGGAAAATGAAACGTTAATTATGCACATTACATTTTTCAGTCCATCTAGGAAGGAGTATGGAATATCGATAATTCTTCTAAAAATTTTTTATTTGGTTTAAGGCCATAAAAACTTAATTAATTGGTTCTCATAACCCGGCCGGGTCATATTCAACAAAATTTTGAAAAAAAAATTTTTTACTATATTTATTATCCGGGTGAACTTTTTAAAATTTTTGTAAAAAATTTTATATGTAAAAAACATATAAAATTTTTTGAAAATAAAATTAAAAGCCGGAGTTGCCGGGTCATTTTTAAAATTTTATGTTATGAGAACCAAAAAACTAATTTTATATGGCCTAATATTTCTAATCTATTATTAAAAGTATATAACTTTTTTAATTTACTAACAGTTCAATTATTATTTTTCTTTTTTAAAAAAAAAACAATAAACTATAGGCATTTATAATCGTAGGCCTTTAATTTCCGTAGACACCATTTTCTTTTTTAAGATGCGGATAAATCCGTTTATCCGTATATGAATTATCCGATCAGATTAACAGATCGAATAACCCGAAGGTATTCGGATAATTATTCGCATACTAATAGATAACGAATTGACAATAGACATACTTTTTCAATTGGAATTGACATATGTCCAATTCCAATTGGCTATTGTCCAATTAAATCAATTGTCAAGTTCAATTAATCCAATCAATACTGGTCTGATGCATGTAATATGTTACTTACGTAAATAAAGTTCGGAAAAGTATTTACGATTTCAAATTTTAAGATAATTATGGTTTACAAGAGGTATTATTTTAATTGTATTTTAATTACCTTAAAAAGTCATTATACTGGCTCCCGTTCCAGATTAATGTCATAAAGAAAAAATTTAAATTATCTTTAAATTTAGAAATCGCGAATACTTTTTTCCTTCATAGTATATAAAATACTATAATTATGAATTCATATTAATAATGTTTAAAAAAAGTTTTGTCTATAATTATTCAAAATGATAGTATTGCCAAACGAATGCCTTTTTGAAATATTCAATAACCTTCGAACTTATTATAGATTCTTATTTTCATGCCTTCTTGTTAACCGCCAATGGTGTAGAAATGTTGTTCCGATACTATGGAGCGAACCATCTTTGCACATCAAAGATAAAAGACTTATAAAAATGTTTATTTTAACATTAAATAACGAAGAAAAGGCACCATTAAATATAAAACTTCCAAATGAACAAAAACTATTATTTGAATACACATATTATACTAAAATTGTTAATTGCAAAGGTTTAGAAAATGGAATAGTAAATTGGCTTTGTAATGAAGATGATGAACCTCATAACTCTTATCAATATCTTGAAAAATATAAAGAGTTTAAAAACATTATTCAAATAGTAAAAATTTCTTTAATTTCAATGTTTTTACGAACGAGTAAAAGAATTAAATCTTTACAAATTACTAATATTAATAATAATCAAATATTAGAAATTTTTTATAAAAACATTATAATTACTTCCTTAGAATTTTCTGAAATTAATTTTAATTTTGAAGAAATAAGGGCACTAGCAGATTTTCTTTGCAAAAATACCTTTATAACCTCATTAAAACTTCATAGTTGTGGACTTTGTTCTAAAAAAGCAAAAGTATTGGCGGAGATTCTTTATGAGAATACAAATTTAGTATCCTTAGAACTTTGCAGTAATGATGTTGGATTTGAAGGAGGGAAAGCGATTGCAGAAGCACTTTACGAGAACACCACTTTAATCTCATTAAATGTTGGATTTAATAAACTTGGACTTAAGGGAGGAGAAGCATTTGCAGAAGTACTTAATAAAAACAGCACATTGAATTTTTTAAATCTTAGCGGTAATAGACTTGGCCCTGAAGGAGGAAAAGCGTTAGCGGAAGCCCTTTATAAAAACACAACTTTAACTTCCTTAAATCTTTATTACAATCAACTTGGTCTTGAAGGAGGAAAGGTATTAGCAGAAGCACTTTACAGAAATACTACTTTAATTTCTTTAAACCTTGGTGATAATCAACTTGGTTTTGAGGGAGGAGAAGTATATGCAGAAGTCCTTCGTAAAAATACCACTCTGACTTGCTTAAACCTTAACTTTAATAAACTTGATTCTAGAGGAGGAAAATTATTGGCAGATGCTCTCTATGAAAATTCTACTTTAACTACCTTAGAGCTTTCATACAATCATTTTGGATCTGACGGGGCAAAGGCATTAGCTGGTGCTCTTTTTACAAACACCACTTTAACTTCCTTAAATCTTAATAGTAATCAAATTGGTTTCGAAGGAGTAAAAGAATTATCCGAGGCGCTTTGCGAAAACATCACTTTAACATCCTTAAATCTTAATAGTAATCAAATTAGTTTCAAAGGAGTAAAAGAATTGGCAAAAATGCTTTGCAAAAATACTATTCTAAAAACTTTATGTCTTTACAATAATCAATTTGGCATTGAGGGAGGAAAAGTATTAGCAGATGCACTTTGCAAAAATACCACTTTAACTTACTTAGATATTGATCACAATAATCTCGATTTCGAAGGAATAGAAGCATTTATAAATAGTTGTAAAAATAATGCATTAATCAATTTAAATATTTATGATGATAAACTTAGCTCTAAAGAAGTAAAAATATTATCAAAAACACTTTACAAAAATACTAGTTTAAATTTACCGAACATTAGTAAAATGTTTTAAAAATTTTTATAAGTTTAATTTAGCGCAAATAACAAATATTAATTTTTTTTATTAGACCTTAAAAAAAAATTTTTTTTTCTTAGAATTAGTGATTGGACCTGTGTTTAAAATTTAGAAAAAATTTTTTATACTTGCATAAATAAAATTTTTTTATACTTACATAAAATTTTTTTTTTTAAAAAAATATATATTTATATATTTGTGTGAAAATTTTTCTTTCTTTTTTGCCACATTTAAAAAAAAATTGTAGAAGTTCTTTACAAAAGACTTGCACATTAAAAAAACTCTTGCACAAGTGCACTTTGTGCATGCTAATTTTAAGCGCTGAATTGGACTCGTGTCAACTCGTGATTCACGAATTAAGCTCAAGTTAATTATTCGAGTTTTATATTTATGTATTTCATATTGTAATTTACAAACTGACGAAACTATCGAACTTTAATTATAGTTTGAGCTTTAGGGATGGGCGTTAATATACCATGGTATAATATGCATGGTATAATAACCGTATAATTGGTATAGTATAATTATAATTATACCGTATAATTGGTATAATTGGTATAATATGCAGTGTAACATAAAAATTAGAAAATCAAATTAAAAATACCATCGCAATAATAACGATAATAAAAAATATATTTCGAATATTAAGATGGTAAAAAAAAAGAGTAACGTATGGAAACATTGGACAATTCTTGCAAGAAATCTAACTGAAAATCAAGATGATCAAACTGAAGAGCAAATCGAAGACCAAGTTGAAAACCAGACTGAAACTCAAGCTAAAGATCAAATTGAAGATAATAAGCCGCATCCCTGTGTAAAATGCAAATATTGCCCAAAAATCTTTGAACGAGGAATTGCTACTCGAATGCAAGCACATCTTGATGCTACTTGTTCAGGAGCACCAAGCAATGCAAAATAAAAATCTAAAATACAAAGAAATATCATCAACTATTAAAGCTAGTACATCTGTACCTAGTTCTAATGCTTCTCGTGTTCAAAAATGGTTAAAAACTATACCTATTAGTAATTTTGCTGATATGTAGTATGAGTGATAATGAACAAGAATCTCTTGAGTTTGAATTAGCACAAGCATTATTCGCAACAGGAACATCATTTTCTTTTCTTGAAAATCTATATGTTATTAAATTTTTTCAGCATATTCGTCCTATATTTAAATTACCAAATCGAAAAAAACTTTCAAATTAATTGTTAAATAAGGTTTATGATGAAGTAAATATAGAATCTAATATACAAATTTCACAAGCACGAAGTTTATCTATGATTTCTGATAGTTGGTCTAATATTAATCAGGAATCTGTACAAAATTTTATTGTTTGTATCGAAACCTTTTTTTTTGAGGCAATTTATTCAGGAGAAACATCATATATAGCAGAATGGATTTCAAATCAATTAATTCAACAAATGGAAACAATTAATATTGAAAAATTTTCAGCAGTTATTACAGATACAGCTAATGTAATGAAGGCAGCATGGCGTATTATTGAAGAAAAATATCCTACAATAGTCTGTTTTGGATATGCATCTCATACACTA